AATTCACGCCATATCCCACCCTTCAAACGGAAACACAGCCATGCAAACACAACTGCTTCACGGTTGAAACACGAATGGGACAGATACTCATATATCATATAAGTAGATATTTATACATCTGTTGGTACTGATATAGGTGTTCACTACATACTATTAAGTAGTAAGTACCTACAAATTTAAAAAATATACAATCATGCAAATATAATATTATTTTATCCAGACATGGGAGATATTTAAGAAACAATGTCTCTACATGGGAGATATTTAAGAAAAATTTATATGAAGGATCTTAATAAGAGAAATAGAAGCTAAAACAATAATTTTTATTACAAGTTTTGTCTGTCTATCTGTTTGTAAGTTTTGTTACGGCGTCACGTGAAAACTGTTGCATTACAAATGGAATGCGGTATTCATTGTTATATTCGTGAAGGTCTAACATAAAATATGTTTCATCTACAAGTGGTATATTTCATCAGTTTTACCTACTTGTGAAATACCTACACACATACGAAGTAGCGGGCAAAAAGCTAGTCTATATATAAAATTTCATTAAAGTTCCGGAGGCAAAAGATGAATATAAGGACTTTGGTACTCGGCTCTCTGTACCAACCTCGCAAGTGACTTGGCGTAAAAACAGATAGGTAAAAATATAGATAGGTAAAAAGATACCAAAAATTATTAATTCGGTCTTGTACCCACTTCTATCTATTCTCCACTAGCGACCCGCCCTGTCTTTTCACGGATAGTAGAGCATATATGCTTACATTTTTTGCATTAGCTTCTTACGTCGAATATGAATAAGATGGCTATAGTAAACTGTTCTTAAAAGTTAGACATCATCTATCCATCCATCCTTTAATCACAAATTTTTTTGTAGATCTACTCTTATAAAGAGAAACAATATACATTATTATGTCTCAAACAGAGTCGACTTATTTCTTTCAACATCTTGAACAATTATCGTCGTATTTAAACATATATACATACATACATATCTGTCACGCCTGTCTCCCATTAGGATATTTCAACAAATTAACAAAAACTGAGAGACTTTGTACAAAAGTCGATTGCTTGGGTACCTCTGTCCCATTCGTGTTTCAACCATGAAGCAGTTGTGTTTGCATGGCTGTGTCTCGGTTTTGAAGAAGTTTAAAAAAAAAACCACACTAATATTATATGCACAAACCTTTTTCTTAAATCACTCTATCTATTGATGAAAACTGTTTGGTCTAAATTACTTGATAAATTGGTAAGGTACCTATTCGACGATCTGATATTGAATTTATTTTTTAGACAACATTATTTTTTATAACAACAGGTTATGCAAATAAATTATTGATTGATAGATCGAATGATTGATAGGTCTAGGTATATAATTAAAAAGTGTGTCCCACAAAACATAAAGGACTTCAAACGCGACAAAACCAGTTTAATTTAATTTAAAAACTAAACTACGAGTACTAAAGCGACATTGATAGATTTTATATTTTTATAAAAACAAAATTTTCCAAATTGGTTTACAAATGACGTAGTTAGATATGAGGTAACGAACATAAAAAAATACAACGAAAACATTCTTATTTTTGAAGTTGGTTGAAAATGAAAAATGTTAGTTCATTCTACATAATCATACAGAGCAACTAAATCTCGCTGCCTATAACTAGTAAGGACTAATTAGATATATAAAGCAAAAAAGGAAGGGAGAGATTAAGAAATAAGTATATGGGTTCGATGAAAGGAAAGCTATCCTACTACTTCTAGTCTGTTTTAATAACATTTAATGGACAAATACCTAAGTTTTGTTGAAATCATTTTTTTTTATACAACTTAGAATAGCAAACAAGCTGACGGCCCACCTGATGGAAAGTGGTAACCGTCGCTTATAGACATGAGCAGTATCATGGACATAACAGAGTATACTGTTTCGCCCATGATACCCCCCATGCGTTGCCATTCCTGAGGACTCAGGTGTTATTCCTCTGTACCCAGTAAATTCACGCCATATCCCACCCTTCTAACCGAAACACAACCATGAAAACATAACTGCTTCACGGTTGAAACACGAATGGGATAGAGGTACCCAAGCAATCGACTTTTGTACAAAGTCTCCCTCTGGTTATTTGGTTATTATCTATACTTTACTGTACACAAAAATTACATTATTATAATTTATCTACACTAATATTATAAAGAGGGAAGATTTGTATTTTTGTGTGTATGTATGTTTGTAATTGAATAAACTCAAAAATTACTTTGCCGATTTCCAAAATTCTTTCACCATTAGAAAGCTACATTCACCCTGAGTAACATGGGCTATGTTTATTGCTGGAAAAGATCAGGGATCCTTATTAAAACTTTAGTAACGTAACTCAAGGTGTAAAAAAATGCTATAAAATATATTTCGTCGCGTGCGCTGCGGAAACTATTGGTGATAGAACAAAAGTATGTTCTACAATATTGAAGAAAACATCAATAACTACAAAAAATTTCGCGATACTATATGTCTAACTATTATCGTTATGTCACAATGACCACTTTTTTATGTTGTAAAAATGTCAACTCGTGCGAAGCCGGGACGGGCCGCTAGTATTAAATAAAGATGTACGACAGGCGAGATTAACTCTGTAAGAGTTCTCTTCCAGCAAATTTTGAGTGAAAAAAGCTATTAATTCCATATAAACCATCTAAATAAAATCTCACTAAAATATTTAAGAAAATTGTAACTAGACAATGTCTGTACTCATGGGAGATATTTGAGAAAAACTTATACGAGGGATCTTAATAAGAGTAATTGAAGTCAAAAATATTTTTTTTTATTTTATTAAATTGCTGATTTTAATAAAATTTCCATGGGACCAATCTGTAGTTAAGTATATCCTTTCAGATAAAAAAAGATTTTCCAAATCCGTTGAACGAGAGTTATGGGAATCGACGCCGGGACCACGCAAAGCAACGTACCCACCAATGCGCCGCGGATACCATCAGAGCATTTACATGTAGTTGCCCTAATATAACACAAATAAAGATCGTGCCCCAAAAAAAAAACTTCAATTATGTAGTTCTTTTGATCTACAAACTATTTTACTGAACCGATTTTGATAAAATTTCAGTGGGACCAATCTGTATTTATATTATTTCAGAAAAAGAAAAAAGATTTTTTCAAAACTGATTATTCTCAAAGAAACAGCTCGAAAGACAAAAATATACTTTCTCTATAAGCATGCAGTTTAATTGTTTTTTAATCATATTTCGACCAATGTTTCCTTGGAAGAACTATTTAGTTTCATTGATAAATAGTAGAACAGGAAAAGGACGCTTCGATTATACCGTGTAGATTTTTAGTCAATTTTGTTCTAAAAAGAACGGATTTTTTAGTCCATTTTATTCTACCAGTAGAAAAAAACTAATTTTGTAGTCCATTTTGTTCTACCAGTAGGGATTTTTAGTCCATTTTGTTCTACCAGTAGAAAAGAAGGGATTTTTAGTCCATTTTGTTCTACCAATAGAAAAGAAGGGATTTTTAGTCCATTTTGTTCTACCAATAGAAAAGAAGGGATTTTTAGTCCATTTTGTTCTACCAATAGAAAAGAAGGGATTTTTAGTCCATTTTGTTCTACCAGTAGAAAAGAAGGGATTTTTAGTCCATTTTGTTCTACTAATAGAACTAAATCGTAGAGCAATACGGATATAATCGTTTTTATTTATAGGTAACTCAGATTCCCTTAGATTGGAGCCTAATATGCGTTGCTTTACAATATACGTGACAGTATACCAACCCTGTTTACCCTGTATATATATATTAGGTGATATGGTAGTGGACAACGGTGTAACGGAAACCTCGGGGGGGGGGATTATTCGTAATACTAACTATCGGCTCTATTGCTAGTAAAACACTCTATCAGGTCGACCTCCACACGGTCCCCCCTGGATATCATCGTGGTTAATTCCTGACCAATTCGACACGAGGTGCTAACTGACCTGCTTTCATCCTCATCTATCATTCCTCACTGGTGACTGATGCCAAGTGGGTTATTTTATTATCACCCATAAAAAACCCTGTTTTATATATGTATGATAATGGTGATATAGTAATGAACAACATAACCTAGTAGCTTATTTATGGTTTGAACATAATAACGTTGATCTAACGGGAATCTCATATGAACAAAGGCCGATCTAATTCGATAAGACATCCGGGGAACCACGAAACACAAATGTGACTAGCTATTTCAATGTCACGCCTCAAAGCTCGTGTGGCACGAGTTCGTCCAGAATTCCAACTTGACAGCTGTAAACGCTGTCACACACATATGTACTGAAATAAATTTAACTAAACAACATACTCATATTATTTTAATTGAAGTCCCTTATCGCACTAAGAAATCTTTGCACCTGACTGTAGGTACCTACAAACACATCAACAGGTCAAACGTAGGTTGGACGAATACACGTTGACAAAACAGAGTTCGACGACCCCGGGTCTCTTTGTTGGAACCCGATACCGCGTAACTGACACCACACAAATCAAAGACACCGTCACAAGAAATTCAAAAAAACACACTCCGATGAAAAAAAAAACTCGAAAAGCCTACGGCCTGGGTCTGGATTGATAGCCGCTGCCCGTCTCCTGGCACGTACTAAGCCAGCTGGGCGTGGCTTCTTATAACAGGTTACTACAGAAGAGAGCACCGCCAAAAAATACCCATAAAAAACATATAATGGTTACCCTGGCGCCGGCGATCGATGCTTCAGTGCCAACCCGCGTTCTCCTCACGTACAGACGAAAAAAATCGCGCCACAAACGCTGACCAATCAGAGGAAGGCTCCGCCCCTAAATCATTCCACCTCTAAATGCGTCACGCCCCACGCGGCGCACTAGCGCCACATGTCCTATACAAGTGGCGTAGATCCGTACTAAATAGAAAGAGAGGGCGATACGCGGGGCCGTTCGTTTCTCGGACAATTTCCCCCAACCGATCATTAAGTGTTTAAATTCTACGGGAGTTGGTTGTGTCGAGTTTCGACGGAGGGGAACGCTATTAAAATATCCACAAACATTATCTTTAATTGGACAGAATTTTGTGCTTGTGTGCGTTCGGGCGCTGTTTTTTTTTACTCCCCAACCAGTGACGATTCCGTTTTTTCGAAACTTGATGACTGTTATCAGCCGTGTTTAGTGTGCAGTGATCGTGTGTGATTTTCGATTACTCGTTAAACTTAGTGGTTATCGTATATGACAATACATTAGACTAGTAAACCGGCAGTGACGAAAATGTCATCGGTTACATGACGAAAGGCACGTAGAACGCAGCGTGAATCGGCTACCGAAACGAAAACGCAAAAGTAAAATCGGAAAATGGTCCACGTGCTCTGTAATTGTGAATCGTAATGCATGGTTCGTTAATTGATCGGCAATTATATTCCTGTCCCGTTCTTTCTAATTACCAGTAACAATAATTTTGATTACGCCGCGTCACTAGTGATAATTGTTAGATTTGTAAATCAAACAATCGATTCTAAAAGTAATAAATCGTAAATCTACGTTAGAAAAAAAAATATTTTTAAAAATCGAACACAAGTTTTGTCGAGTTCCACAACTGCGGTTGCTATAGACGAGTGTGTTTAGAAACTTACAAGTGCTGTGACAATTTGTGTTTCAAAAAAAATTATTGTGACAAAGTGATGCCGTGTCTGATTGCTTGACTTGCATTTAACCGTGAGTAAATAGTATTTATATTTTATCACCTAATATTATCTTAAAATATTAACAGAGAAAAACATTAGATATGTTTTCATGTCGAAGATATTTCTTTTATGATATCCTGGTATATATCTACAAAAATCTAATAAAATAATAGAATTGTGTAAAAAATATCGAAAATAAAGTTTTATTAAGTAATTGGTATCCTGTAGTGACCTCTATTTTTATTTTAGTAAAGTTGCTAATACAGATATATTTGTTAGATGCACACAATAAGTAATCTTTACATTATTTAAAGCACTAGGTACCTTAATATCGACAACACTGAAAAATCTAATAAAATAACCTAGAAGTATCAACACAATAAAATAAATCAGCAGTGAATCACTGTTTATATTATATTAAAAATACATAGCGTTACAGCATAGTTTTCAAATTAAATGAGATGGTTACATAGATTTTATACAAAACATTTTTTTCTTCGAAGTGATGTAGCCTTTGTTAGATAGGTATTTTTAATTTTTTTTTCGTAGAACTATGGTGGCAATCAAGCATACAATCCATCTGATAATAAACGGGATTACCGTAGCCTATTGACGCCTATAATGCCAGGGATATCATGCGCGCATTGCAAACCTTTAAGAAATCTTATTACTCCCTTTTTGAAAACCCTATGCTGTAGTTTCTAGGATTTAATAATAATATAATGGTAACCCCGTCTGCGTTATCCGTATACGCTGGCGGATTATCAGTGAGGGATGATAGGTGAGGATAAAAGCAGGTCAGTTAGCCCATCGTGATGAATTTACCAAGAATTAACTTTTTTTTATACAACTTAAAATGGCAAACAAGTTGACGGCCCACTTGATGGAAAGACGTAACCGTCGCCTATAGACATGAGCAGTACCATGGACATAACAGAGTATACTGTTTCGCACATGATACCCTCCATGCGTTGCCATTCCCGAGAACTTAGGTGTTATTCCTCTGTACCCTGTAAATTCACGCCATATCCCACCCTTCAAACCGAAACAAAGCCATTGGTTTCCAGAGGTAACCGCGTAGAGGTGAATCTGGTAGAGGGTATATTGCTAGCAATGAAGTGGCTAGTCCCTATAACTAACAATCCCTTTCCCCCCTCCTAAAAATGGAGTAACAATAATTTTATTAGTAATATTGGTCACATATCATATCAACTATCCACTGCTAAACATAGGCCTCCAGGGGGAAGGGATTCTTGATAGAATAATTTACTAGAGCAATAAAAGCCATAGTTGTCCTATTGTAACTTTTATAACTTACTTACACCAGAGGGAGACTTTGTACAAAAGTCGTTTACTTGGGCCCCTCTGTCCCATTCATGTTTCTACCATGAAGCAGTTGTGTTTACAGTGAATTTACAAGATACAGACGAATAACACCTGAGTCCTCAGGAATGGCAACGCATGGGAGGTATCATGGGCGAAACAGTATACTCTGTCATGTCCATGGTACTGCTCATGTCTATAGGTGACGGTTATCACTTTCCATCAGGTGGGCCGTCAGCTTGTTTGCCATTCTAAGTTGCATAAAAAAAAACTCACCTGCATTCTATTACAAAAGAACTTAATGACACGATAGGCAAGTTTTGTTTAAATTATTATAGAAACCTTGGAAGGGGTTTCTAAAAAAAGAACATATTAGAAGAGGTTCTACTGTATAATGAAAGAAAGAACGAAATATTTTTATTCAAGTAAACTTAAGTTTAAGCATTTTTGAATAGTCATATTTTCATTGCCGGCCATTCGAAACGCAATATCAGCCGAGAACGGGCCAGAAACTTAACTATTGTTTTATTCAAAAAGTTTAGCTATAAAAATAATGAATTTGTGTGAATACAAACTACTGAGTATCAGATCATGCAGTTTAAAATATAAAATATAATAAATTGCCAAGCGTTTAAAAAGAATGTAATAACATAAATGTGTAGAAAAATAAATTTAATAATTTTGTAAAGTTTATATGTATATATATAATAGTGCGCCACCTCTTCTTTGTCTTTTTTCTCAATGTCCTATACCCAGAGGTTGTCTGGAAGAGATTGCTTAGCGATAAGGCCGCATTTTGTATCAATTCTTATTACAATTAAATGTATTTACTATTTTATAAATGGTGCAATAAAGTGTAAATAAATAAAACAAATAAACTGTAACTTTAGCGGAAGGGAGAGACAAAATAATGTAATACTAAGTTTAAGAACTATATCTGTATTTAATTTTAAATGAAACTTTACGTTCTTGTAAGAAAATAAAATTTAAAAAAATCGAAAATGAATGAATCAATCAATCAAATTTATATTTGTCCTGGACATCAGTAGACCGTCTTATGTCTAGGACAATTATTAGTTTTATATTTTCAGTTAGCCGTATTGAATACAAAATATACTCGAATCAAATTTTATTAATAACAATATAATAAAAAATTTAATAAGCATTTTTTAAATAGTCATATTTTTTATGAATCTACCACCTATTTCGGAATGTAATTTTAAAAAAATCGTATCGGTAAAAGGATAGAAAATAAGAAGCTACAATCAATCACAGTATTTTAAATTTATTAGATATTTTTCTAATTGGAGATTTTTAGAGATTTTTGTTAGACACTCATCTCATACTCTAATTGTTAATTTTATTTGACAATATTGAATATATGTATCTACACACATTTATTAACAATAACAAACTTTAATTTGAATCCTTATTTAAATAATAAATTAGATTTGCCTGCCTACAATTTTAAGGCAATTAAACAGGTGCCAAAAAGTTCTGACACATGGCCTTTAGAATGTCAAATGTCTGTTTAAAGCAAATAAATATTTTATTTAATTTCATTTGGAAATATAAATAAATATACTCACATTTAAATGTTTTTAAAATCTAAAAATGAAATAATTATTTACCTAATTATTTGAATTGAACACAAAAATGTCAGTAACTTGAATTAATTTTTTTTTAATTGATTTTAAAAAAACTATACTAGTATTTGCTTATTAAAAAAATAACCATAGACTAAACTCCAATCAGCCGATTTTCCAATTGGAATACCATCTACGAATAGAAGTCAGGGAAAACGCTGAGAAGATATGCGAATATCACATTCGCAATAAAAAATAATTTAAGATTGTCTTCTACAAAAAACCTTTTTCAATCATGACAAGACTAGTAATTTTTTTTTAAAATACTGGACCGATTTTGATAAGTCTTTCACAAGACCAATGTATAAGTATATCTTATTTTATAGATTGTAAAACGTAAGGTAGATAATACTATCTACAAAATCTAGGCACATATTTAAAAAAATAGAAATAAAAAAAAATTAAAATGTTAATAAAAATTCTCGAAATAATTAATCAGTAGTTTAAACTGTTTAAATACTGACTAGTATTTTAAACGAGTGGTTAGTAATTTACCGAATAATTAAATTGTTTCACAAAAAAATCTATTTCTAATATGACTAAACCAGTCATTTTGATTTAAAAACTAAAATGCTGGACCTATTTTGATCAAATTTCTATAAGACCAATCTGTAAGCATATCGTTTTAAACAAAAAAATAATTTTCCAAATCGGTTTACAACTGACAGAGTTATGAGGTAACAAATATAAAACAAGATTACCGAATTAAGAACTCCCTTCTTTTTGAAGTCGGTTTCAAAATTCTTTTCTCTATTCGACTAATATCGACTAAAGTTCTACAGTTGAAACACATTTTAAGCATTTTATTTTTATATAAAAATTATATATTTTTTTCTTTTTTTAAATATATAAATTATAAACAGAAATTTCCCACTTTTTTCGGTAATTTACGAAATACCCATCTACTTACCAAAAATTATATTTAATTGCTAAATTGTTAACCTCCATTAAATTTTAGTATAGTGTAGTAACGCTGTATGGGATGAACCCCCCACTAGATATAGTGACGACCTCAAATGCATCGCAGGAAGTCAATGTATGCAGATGACTCAGAATCGTTCTTTATGAACGGTCCTGAGCTATCTGAATCCAATGCTGGGCATCATAGACCTCTTCCATAGATTGAGATTGTTTGCCAATAGTTTCCACGTTCGGCAGACAAGTTAGCAATCGCAGTTAGGCTTAGGTGCTGTTTTAAGGGGTATACCCCTGCCCATTCCTTGTCCATAGAGTTCCCTTAGTCGCCTCTTACGACATCCACAGGACAGTCAGAGATGGTTCATACTGTGCCAAGACCATAAGACGTTAATTTACGTTTGCTAGATTATATTCTATACAAGTAAAACCGTGTGAAACAACTAGTAAGAAGTAAATGGAAAAATAGTTTAGACAAATATTTAAAAATCTACTACACAGATGTGTACCTCATTGTATATCTCAACTGAGAGCGAACGACCTTAATCCTCACATCCTTCTGTCAAGTGGACCTTCAATTAAGTTGTCTTTGTGACTTTACCTTTAATGAATACGTTCTATTTTTTTTTAAGTGACTTATTTAAGAAGGAGGTTCTCAATTCGTTTGATTTTTCAATTGACTTCAAAAAAAAGGTGGATTTTCTCAAATCGGTTTTTTTTATGGATGAAAATGGTATGGTAACCCCGCCGCAGAATGAAAACAGGCCAGTTAGCCCATCTTGGTGAATTCATCACAAATTAACCATGATAGTTTCCTGGGAGAACCGCGAGGAGGTCGATCTGATTGGGTATATTGCTAGCAATGGGATTCTCAGTCTCCATTACTAACAATCCCTTTCCTGCCTCTCAAATCGGTTATATTTGTTTGTTACCTCAGAACTTCGTCATTTATAAAGTACTTTAAAAAAATCTTTTTTTGTCTGAAAGGATATGCTTTCAGATTAGTTCTGTAAATTTTTTTTTAAATCGCTTCAGTAGTTTAGTTTTCAAATCGAGAATATGGTTACCGGTTTTGGCACTATCGAAGACGGTGTTTTTTTGTGGAATTAAATTATAAAAATATTTTTGCATTTATTTACTTTTACGT